GCAACACTGGTTTAGAATATAAGCTTGTTTGTAAGATCTTGTGAAAAAGGATAATGAATGATATAATTGGAATTATCTCATAAATCAGAGATAAGGAGTGGAAGGTACGATCAGTTTAAAGAAAACTTGAAAGGATCAATCCATCACACAATCAAGTATTTTCTAAGCACCTGATATGTGCCAGGTCCTGTGCTGTCAGGGGTACATAGTAGATGAAACAATCCTTACAGACAAGAAATTTACATTCTAATGATGGAGACAACAAAGGTATATCTGAGTATGTATAGAAGAAGTATAAAGAGAATAAATACAAATTAGTTAAATTCAAGGTAGTTTGAAAGGGAGGACACTAGCAGTTGATGGAAAGCATCTTGAAGAAAAAGGCTGATTCTATGAAGAAGGGAGGAGGGAGTGCATTCCAGGCATAGGGGACATGTAGTGCAAAAGCATTGGTGATAAAACTAAGCCAATTCACTCTGCAGGCATTGAAGAACAAAAATGGAAGGACAACAAATAGAAAGAAATGGAAAATATCTGCAAAGATTTTGACAACAAGCTTTTTTTTTTTTGCCATCAGAGACAATGGACGCACTCAGATTCTAGTATCACAGCCCCAGATGGGATTATGGGTGAAATAGAAATGGTTTTAAAAAGAACAAAGATGTGGAAAGCAGCCAGCATAGAGGAGCTTTGTGCTAGAAGTGACACAGTTGTGAGGACCCCGAGGGACCTTCTCACAAGGTATCTGAAGAAGATACCAAAGGAGTAAGGGGGGAAAAAAAAACCTTAGACTTTATAAATAGTGGGAAAGGGCAACTGAGAGAATAGAATAGCTACCAAACTGTAAGCCTGCTTTCTAATTTATGCAGAATTTTCATGAGACTCATTTACATCCTCAGCAGGGTTATTAGTCAGAAACAGACTTTCACAAGCTGTATTCTGCTATGGCACTCATTTTTACCTTTTACAGTTCACTGAAAGATGTGGAGAATGTAAGGTCACACAGTGCTTATTGTTTGTTAATTATGAGAGGGTGGGGAATGATTCTTGAAGTTTCTCTTCCAACAAGGTGTCTTTCATCTATATATCAGAATCACTGAAGGTTCCATGGATGATATAACAATGGAGATAACTTTGTTAGTTATCCTCTGCTGCCAAACGTCAGGCAAGACGTAAAACAGGGAGACGTGTTCACTGAAGGTGTTTGCTCCTGTCTGGAGGCCATCCAGCACAGATTTCAAGAATGAGTCCCCGTACAATCCTCCAGCTGCTCCTGTTTGTGAATGACATTGTGACAGTTACATTTAGCCCAAGAATGCTGCAAAGCTTCCTGGAGCAGATTCATACAGATTCAAAAGAGTTTGGACTATGCTCATAAGAAAGACCAAATGGATGAAGAATGATTGTTGCCCAAATTATAAGTTATGGATGGACAACTTAACGAGCTTGTCCATCTGTGTATGAGTCTGTGAGACAAACAGTACAAATGGACAACATATTGGGCCCAAAATTAAACAGAAGGCAGGGAATCAGTTTCATTGCCTTCAGGAAATTGCAGGGTTCCTTTAATGACTCCAGACACAAAAACCCATTTTGTGATACCAACATTCTACCAGTAATTACTCTGTGGCTGGTGAAATATGGAATACAACATTCTCTGAAGAAATGAAAATCTGTATCTCACAGGGTAATGGAGAAGTATGTGGTGGTTATGTAGAACTATTAAGAAACTTTGAAGAACAGAAGTTTAAGTTGTCACGAGGGAAATGTATGATAGGAAAAGAAAATGAGCTGGTCGTATAACAAGGGTGAGGGATAACAAATGGGTGGCCATACTGTTGAGAGAAAGTAAAGAAAGTCTCTACCACTTTGAGTGAGCAACCTTGAGTTAACTCAGGGAGAACACAGGAGAAAGTTGTAGACAATAGGCAGGCATGGATGGGTTGTAACTTGCATCATGGGAAAGAACTTCCAGATGGATGTGGTTACTCATCAGAACAACAGACAGATCCTCCATGATGTCTCTTCATAGACCCTTCAGGCTTTCTCTCAGCCTAACAAGGACTGATTAGAAGATTATTTGTCTGGAGTCTTATAAAGCTAATCAAAATGTCTTTAAACTGCAAAGGAAGAGAAAAGAGAAAACCAGTCAATATCCATACCATAAAGAGGGTGACTACAGTGTAGGAAAAAGAATGGCAATTGAGACGAACAGAAGATAAAATCCAGGAGGAGAACCAGTAATTAAACACATGGCCTCAAATCTCTATACACAAATGCACAAAGTATAAGTAACAAGCAAGGTGGACTAGGGGTCCTAACATAAGGAGACTCCATAGCTATCACTGAGGCTGTGTGGGAGATAAGCCCCATGTCTAGAATATAGCTCTGGAAGGATAAGGTGTATTCTAAAGAAACAGGATATTCAGCAAAAACAAAAAGGGAAACAGAGAACTGGGGGAAATCATCCCACCCTAAAATTCTGTGATTGCATGCACCGTGTAGTCTCTACTGTGCTTAATTCTTGTGCTCTAGTGAGACTGCTACCTTCCATATATCCATAATATGCTATATTCACTTTCAACTTATCTGCTTTCTGGATTTCAACAATAATTTTTTAGCCTTGTATTTTTAGCCTTTTCCCTTCTACTAGCATGCATTAGGGTTTCCTCCTCTAGCATGACTGGGTGCATTTATAGTACCAACAAACCAATGTGACGAAATGAATGGGAGCTGTTCATGTTAAAGGGAAAGGAATTATGAAAAAAAAATAACTTTTAGAAAAACTGTTGAGACAGGATTCGGAGAAACCCATCTTGGACCATTGTCTTCTCTTGTTTATCAGGAAATAGAGACCCTGTTTGGGGAAAAATTCTTTGGGCAGTATCCATCATCAAGAGTTTGGTTTTGAACCAAGAAATGGATCCCAATCCAGGGGGGGAGAAAAAAGGACTTAATCAGAAGGCTGAACTAGGGAGATTAACCATAAAAGCCTGAGTCACGTTAATTAGTACCAAAGTGAAGTATGTAGTGAGTTAATAATCTCTGTGTATCACTTGAATCTTGAGATGTCTGTACTCTGTGGTAAAATGGTTTTGTACAGTCTGCATGCCTTGTGCTAGAGGAAAAAGAAGAAGAGTTACAATATGATAAAGACAGTAATACTAGGCACAAAAGGGGTGAGTGCTGCTCTGATTGAGTGTGTTTCTCTAACAGCATTCTAAACCCAAATGGAAATTATTGGGAAGAGTGTGATACTTTTTGTAATCTCTGTGTCTTCTCTCAGCACAGATAACTAAAAGTTGAATGTATTTATAGATAGGACCATAGGATCATAGCTCTAAATGGACTGGAAGTAACCTTGGAGGCTATTGAGTGTAACCCCCATATTTTCTACATAAGGAAACTAAAGCCCACAAAAGTTAGGTGACTTGTTCAGGTTCACACAGCTAATAAGTGTCTGAAGTATGATTTAAACCTGTCTTCCTGACTTCAAGTCCACTGCTCTTTTCACTATGCCATGCTATGTGACTGTTATATAATGACGTGCTTTCCCCACCCTTTTAAACCAAACATTCTAAAATATATGCATTCAAAATGAGTCCTGTCCCCAACAAAGCAGATACCTTAGGATGCTCTGAACTCCTTCCAGGAATGCAGAAATTCTCACAATAGGTTTGAACACACTTTCAAAGGGCTTCAGAGCCCCTTCATTTACCACACATTGTTTGGTAATCCCACCTGGTTTTTTGACCCAAACAGGATTATCCAGCCTCATCACCTATCTATTTGTCCAGTTTGGCTCTGAATGACTTTTGATTTTCCAAAAATTAGATCCACTCTCAAGGGAAAACAATTTGCCACCGTTTGGAAATTTGATTTAAAAAATGTGCTTTGGGCCCATATAAGACCACAGTGGCTTTTTTATGAAGTTATGCAAAGAATAAGTACAAAACCTACTATAAACAAGAAAACAAGTGGAAAAGTATATGTGATTATAGAACATGATAGTAAAAAATATGAGTTTTTAAAAGGCATTATGGTTTGTAACACACCCTTCAGTTTTAGGGCATCTTATGAAACAGTTAAAACTTAGTATTAATCTCCAGGTAATCTTTTTTACTTAGTGCTAGCAAAACCCATTCTTTGCCCTTCTCCTCATGTTTTGAAAGATGCAATATTAGTGTTGTATTGGTATAGACGCTTTACTGTCTGTGGTTTGAATTGTGTCAGATTGACACTCCTTGTGACCAGTGGCATAAATTGATGAGATGACTTGCTGAGGTTGGGTATGAAGTCTCTAGATTATCTCTCTAGACCACAGACTGATCTTTACTGTTCTGCTTGAAAGTTAAACTTACCACCTTCTCCTCTTTATCCTCCTACTCTTACTAAATATATCCAAATGGACTCATGTTATCTGTTATCTGTAATCTGTGGGCAGTTCACCAAGAAATGAGGAGCGCTCTGGCAGAAAAAGCTTCAGCTGTCTTTCAAATGACACTAGTTAACTATTTTTTTTTAAGTTAACTATTCCAAAAGCTCCCTTGGAGTCATCCTCCAAGAACTCTGGTGGTCTCTAATTTTCTCTGAGCCTTTCAATGAAGTCAGGGGCTCAGACATTCAGAGTGGGGGTGATAAGGGTAAAGGAGGTATGGATTTAAATTGCAACTAATCCAACTTAATAGAGAGCATAGGCTATTTCAGGTATCTTTCCTCTCCCCAGGAACAGGCTGTTGCTTGGTGTTTATAGCTGCACTTTACTGATCTAGGGGGAAAAAAAAAAAAGAAAAAACTCACAAAACTTGGTTGGACAACAATCTCTTCGGCATCTGTGTAATATGCAGAGCTAGATTTGGGCTTTCTCTTCTCTTCTGTCATTGACAAACATTTGTGGATTACTAATAGTGAAATAAGCCTAGGAAAAGCAGCGGCCTAGGTAGCATTTCAACATGACCAAAGAGCTTCTCTGAGACTTTCTATCTGTCTTTTATTAAAAGGTCCACACACGTCCCTGTTGGGGAAGATCAAGTCACACATATGAAACTGGTCCGAGATCTAGCACAATGTTTTAACAAGAAGTATGGGGAGTTCTTTCCGGTACCCAAATGTCTTTTAAGTAAGTAGTAAGTCTGTGATTATTAGATTGTGGTTGATTTTGAAGATGCCAATCTTTACTTGCAGTCACGTTGATTAAATCTGAGGATTGTAAAGAAGGTAAAAGACTAGGTGACTCGGTCTCAACTTAGAATATGCTTGAGTCAAATGTTGAGAAAGAAAGGAAGAAAGAAAGAAAGAAAGAAAGAAAGAAAGAAAGAAAGAAAGAAAGAAAGAAAGAAAGAAAGAAAGAAAGAAAGAAAGAAAGAAAGAAAGAAAGAAAGAAAAAACAAAGGAAGGAAGGAGGGAGGAAGGAAAGGAACGGAAAAAGAAAGGAAGAAAAAGAAAGAAAGAAAGATTGATTTCTGGAAATACCCTCCCTCTTGGATCTAACTGAGCTCTCCCTTTGACAAAGAAAGGCAGTTAAATAAAAAAGCTTGATAACAGTGACTGAGTTAGACAACATACATCGCCTTCTGCCTTACAAGTCTCCTCTTTCTCTCTGCCATTAAAAGGGAGATTACATTATTTATTCCCTAGGACCATATTGCTTTTTCAGTTACTCAGAGTTTGGCTTCAGTTGACGTTGTTTGTAGGCATTATATCTGTTATTTTTGTGGGGAGGGGAATTTCACTTGTTTCACTCTGCATTAGTTTGTACAAATGTCCTCATGTTTCTCGGAATTCTCCATATTTGTCATAATATTCCATTGTGTTCATATGCCACAATTTGATAGGTCATTCCCTAATTTATGGCTATCCATGTTCATTCTTAGTGGATCTGAGGGGTCTTGGTAATTGTTTTGGTCTTTTTTTCCCTTTGTTTAACACAATGTCAAGCATATATTAGGTATTTAGTAAATACTTGTTTTGAATGAATAAATATCTTGGGCAGTTCATGATTTGGGGAAAATCAGGTTTCTCCCCTTCTTATCTTTCTATGTCTCTCTTTTTTTTAACGTGGAAATTTCCAATTGGCTTTTTAAATTTGCTTTTACATAGAAATACTCAGTAGGGCACATTGTCTTATAATTTTCTTTTTAAAAACTGTTGTAAAAATTTTTTAGCTAGATTGTACTAAATAAAGGTAATTTGGCATTTATGTTATTCTCCAGATATTATTTTTAGGACCTTAGCAAGAAGTTGGTAAGGAATTTTCTAATAAGCAAAATGCATGGCCATTTGCATTTATATTAAAATATGAACACAGTACATTAATAACAGTTTCTAGTGCCATTTATCAAATAATGAGTGGTAGGGTTAAAGGTAGCAGAATAATATTTTAATCAGCTCATGGTAGTTATAAATAAATAATTGAAAACTATAGGAAGAATCTCCTAGTGACAAATGGAAAATTTATGTCTTTGATATTTAAATAAAATTTACAATTTATGTATCCTGATAGTATTTATGTATGTCACATTCTTTATTATAGGAATAATAGGACAAGTCAAAGCATTAGAAAAAATAAATTATGAGGGTTTGAAATACCTACATAGTTTTAGAGTGCTCTCTAAATGCCACATAGTCATAAGAACCAAAAGGACCGAAAACCCAAAGAAGCAAATAAATTAAAAGAATGCTCATGAAATTATAACACTGCTGGTATAGCTAGCTCTTGATGATCCTCTGCCCTCCTAAAAAGCATCGCAGAAATGGAGTGAGTCCTTTGTTACTTACATCTGAATCCTTCACCCACTTGACCTAGTCTTTGATTTCTCTTGAGAAAAGATGGGGGTGGACCTCACTTATAAACTATTTTGGTAATAGAAATAAACTTCTGATGGGGTAAAATCACTGCACTGTAGCCTGCTCATCTTTACTGCAGCTGTCAAGCAAAATGTAACTACACAGAGTTTGTATATTGTGTTTTTAATGTACACCATAAGCCCAATGCAGGTATAAATTGTAGGTCATCTTAACAATTGCTGCAAAAATACTTTGGTAAACCCCTGTACGTTCAAGGAAAAACTTCATTTGGGGATGAGTTGTATTTTCATGAGTTAGAAGAGACCTCGGAGTCAGTCAGTCAACAAGCATTTATTAAGAACCTGCTACGTACTAGGCATTGTACTAAGCACTGAGGATGCAAAGGAAGGCAAAAGACAAGTTCCTATGCGCAAGGAACTCAGTCTAATGGAGGAGACGGCGTTCAAACAGCATGTATAAACAAGCTGTATACAAGATAAAGTGGAGATAATGAACAGAAGGAAGCCGCTAGCATTAAGGGGAATCAGGAAAGGCTTCCTACAGAAGGTGGCATTTTAGACCAGGCTGGGAAGCCAGGAGGTAGAGATGAGGAGGTAGAGAATGCCAGGCATGAGGGACAGCCACGGAAAATGCATGGGTTCAGGAGACAGATTATCTTGTGCAAGGAACAGTAAGGTTTGTGTAGGAGGAAAGGACATTGTTCCTGCATTACAGAATATGTGGAGTTGAGTAAGGTGTAAGAAGACAGGAAAGTAGGAGGGGGCCAGGTTGTCAAGGGCTTTGAGTGCCCAACAAAGGACTCCGAGGTTATTTAGCCCAATCCTTCCCCACAATATGAAGTCCCTCTGTAACTTCCCTGAATGGTGATTATCCTGTCTCCACTAGAAGGCTCCAAGTAAACTTGCTCTCAAGGCAGCCCCTGCTGTTTTTGAACAGTCCAGAGTAAATGGCGGAGCATGATATGGTGGGGAAAAGCCACCAGATTAGTAGTAAGGTTTTGTTGTTTGTGTTGTTCCGTCATTTTCAGTCCTGTGTGCCTCTTCATGACCCGGTTTGGGGTGTTCTTAGCAAAGATACTGCAGTGGGATGTGCCATTTCCTTCTCCAGCTCATTTTGTGGTGAGAAAACTGAGGCAAACAGGGGTGAAGTGAGTTGCCTAGGATCACACAACCAGTCAGTTTCTGAGGCCAGATTTAAACTCAGAAAGATGAATCTTCCTGAATCCGGGCTCAGCATGCTGTCCAGTGTGCCACCTACCTGCCGAATTACTTACAGATTCCATTTTTGCCACTAATTAGCTGTGTCAACTGGGACAAATAATTTAACTTCTCTAGGCCTATAACCCTATTAATAAAATGATGGGGTTAGACTAGACATGTAAGAAAGAAAAACAAGTGAAAAATTCTTTCAACTCAAAAGTACAATAATAACTGCACTTGTTGGGAAGTTTTACTTGTATTTGAGTGTCCCCCGAATAATTATGTATTATATTATAATTTTTCTGCTGGCTAATATTTGCATCATTACAGGATTAATAAATATCATCCAGACAATAATAAGCTCCTTTAGAGCATACTACATAGGAAGCACCATTTTGTGAGACAAAGCCAAATATATTTCTTCCAAGCAACAAATAAGTCATTTCTGAATTGAAAAAAACTGCTTGAGTATGTACTATACACATATACATTGTCAATTAGTGGGGGAAGAAGAGCCCACTGAAACTAGAATAAAACCTATTTTTATTTTTAGGCTTCTTTACCTATTAACATATCAAAATATCAACCCAAATAGTTCAGTAGCTCTGTAGTATGTGAAATAAGGAAATTCATAAAGCATGTAAGATTTAGAAGATTCAGAGAAGCTAAATTAAGATCTTCCAAGAACTGCTTCAGTTTTCACTACTATGGTCATCAGTAATCCTCCAAAGATGTCATTAATAGGCATACAAGTTTCCATTCCATTCAACAGACATTCATTAAACACCTTCTATCTGATGCATTCTTCCTAGAGAAGAACTGCAGCTGCTGGTTCAGTGTCCAAAACTTATTTAGAGAGCTAGGCGCTAACCTTTTTTGTTCTTGTTCTTAGCCTCTATGAAGAAGGTAAAGTCACTCCGTGATCCTTCGGCCAAAATGTCAAAATCGGACTCTGACAAACTAGCCACCGTTAGGATAACAGACAGCCCAGAAGAGATTGTGATGAAGTTCCGTAAAGCGGTTACAGACTTTACGTCAGAGGTGACCTACGACCCATCCACCCGAATGGGTGTCTCCAACATGGTGGACATTCACTCTGCAGTGACGGGACTCACAGTAGAAGAAGTCATCCGCCAGAGCGCCGGTCTTGACACTGCTCGCTACAAAAATGTGGTGGCAGAGGCCGTTATTCAGAAATTTGCACCAATTAAGAGTGAGGTTGAGAGACTGAAGATGGAAAAAGACCACTTGAGAAAGGTCTTACAAGTCGGGGCAGAAAAAGCCAAAGAACTAGCAAAGCCAGTGTGCCAAGAAGTAAAGAAATTGGTAGGTTTTTGATAGGACCATGATCAAATAATCATGACCATCTCTAATGAAGGCAGCTGACCTTGTACACAGAAGAATCTATTGTCTGTGACCTTTTTGTTGGACCACCCCAACCTGCTGACTTCAGATGAGGAAGCAGTGTTTTGTGACCTTAAATAATTGTCACTTTTCCGAATCCCATAAGTAAAATTTTGCCATCAGAAAAAAAGAAAAGGAAAAGTAAAGCAATAAGCATGGCTCAATCCTCAAAAATGTCATGCTTTATCTTATTTTTTTTTTAGGCTTTTTGGGGTCAGGGTTCAAGTAATCCTGCAGGTTTGGGGGGATCTTTCCCCTACCAATCTCCATCTGGTTCATTTTACAAAAGTAATTTTGAATAGATCAGAAGCATATTCTTGGGCTGACCACTTCCATGAGCATAGAGAGCAAGAGTTTGGAAGGTAGAAGAATCACTTGGATAATTAGGGAGGTGGAGAAGGTGAGGGGATAAGCATTTATATAGCACCTACTATGTGCCAGGCCACATATTCAGATGAAAAGTTCCTGCTCTTTGCATTATTTTTGATTATTTGTAGCGCTTAGCACAATTCTTTGCATATAGTAAGAGCTTAATAAATGCATTGTTCATTCATTCATTCATTCATTAGGTTTATGTAATAGCTTTCCTTTCAAGGACACACAATTAAGCATTAAGTAAGACACTGGAGGTCAACCTGTACGTGGAATATTGTTCTTCAAGAATATTATATCCAATTTTTACCAATATTTTTAACCAAGAAGCTAAATCAAAAAGCGTCTATATGGTAATTACTCCTTAAAGTGAGAGTGTGTTGTTTTTATACTTCTGGTATGTTTTATGGGGACTGGAACTGCTGAACCCAGCCAGCCATCTGTGTAGTATCAGTCAGGCAGTTCAGATTTCTATGTGGTGTCAGCTGGTGGCAAGTCTACCTCACCCTCAACCCAGAACACACTGCAGGCTCTCAGTAAATACCTAATGAAAGATAGAAAATAATCCAGAGATTCTTTACAAAGCAAAGAGTGATTTTTTTACTTGACAGTTTCTACCAATGCATGTACTCCTAGTTCATATCTGTAAGAAAGGGAAGCATAAGAAACAGACTTTCCTCTCTTCAGCTCTTAGGGCTTCCTCAAAGATGTTCAGGGATAGGCATCTCTGGTCAGTCAGTCTTTGCAGCCTTTTGGAATGGTTTCCTAGTAAGTATGTAGTGTCACCTCCTCTCTCTCTCTCTCTCTCTCTCCATATTCATTGTTTGAAGGGTTATAGTTTATTACTATGTCTCCTAGGTCTGCTATCTTAGCTCACTAACAAATATTTGGCTTCTACACTTCAATCTCCACACTCAAATGGACAGAGTATTTGGATATTGGTTAAAAAAAAAATTTAACAAATGTAAGTTGATATCTTGCTTGCATTCCTCTGACCCTGAAGCAAGTCCACATTATTCTCTTTTGGAAATTTACTCTTCAGAACAGAGGAGAGAGAAAAAACATGATATATTTTATGTGTCCCGTCTGATGTTTTGTGACCATATTCGGAATTGGCAGGCATAATTTTGTAAATTTATTGCATCCATTCACAACATAGAATCCAGGTTCTCATTTCAGGTTTTGAAATGAAGGGGACAGATCAACAAGTGACCATCTTTAATACCTACCCCTAAATTAACCCATTACTGTGTCCTGGTGGAGAACCTATTGAGAACACCTGAAGGTAGTAGTAAAAGGACTCCCTAAAGAGGCCTCAGGAATTGAGAGCTGCTGCAAGAAGGGGTGACCTGGATGATGACCAACTGACATTTGACTAGCCCAGTTACAACAATGAAAAATGAACTCTAGAAAAAGGCATGTGTGGAGTGGACACCAGAGGCCAACATGGGTGGGCAGGAGATCTCTTCTGCTCTATAGAGAGGCGTACCAGAAGAAGTCTCTTGCACCTGAACTGAAAGCAAGTACTCACTTGGATACAAGACCACAGGCGAGTTTTATGGCAGCTCTGAGGGAACAAACCTTTCCTCTCCTAGACGCACGGTAGAAAAATAGCCAACAGTGGAATTTTTGAAGTTGATGGTTCCCCAGTGAATGATCTTATTTTTTCCATTGATTTTACTGCCTGCCTTTTTCTGATGCTTTTGTAATACTTGCTGCTTCTTATTCATGAGATCCTTAAGGCTCCCACATACTCAGTACCGGGAAGGCATGAACTATTACAGCTTCCTGCTGACCATGGCCCTTTGATAATCGCACAACTGCCATGTGTTTGACCCCAAGAGCATCCTAGAAACCATGCTCTTTACTCTTCAGATTCGTGTTGATACCAAAGCCTGCTGCTGCTGCCTCTGCCATCTGTGGTGTATCTGTTCCTTCATCTCCATCAGTTACTATAAAAACTCCACTTCCCTCCTCTCTTATCTATTACACTCTTCCTAGTAGAGCCTTCCTGTCTCCAGCCCAGTCCCTCTCCTTATGGAATGTACCAGTCAGGATCCTCCTTGCCTTCTGTTGTTGTCTTCTGAACCCCAGAGGTGACTTCCTATCCCTGCCTTTAACAAGAAGTTAAAGAAGGTGGTGCAATGTATGGAGCACCAGCCCTGGAGTTAGGAGGACCTGAGTTCAAATTTGGCCTCAGACACTTGACACTTACTAGCTATGTGACCCTGGGTAAGTCACTTAACCCCATTGCCTAACCAAAAAAAAAAAATGCTTTATGTTTTTTGCTGCCTATTTATATGGCCAGACCTGATTCATTCTTGAACGACTTTCATATGGCCCTACCATCCTTTTAAACTACTATCTTATATCTCTCCTCTCTTTCACAGCCAAAGTTCTAGAAAAATCTGTCCACACTCATCTTCTGCTTCCTCTTCTCTCATTCATTTCTCAACTCCTTCTAACCTGGTTTCTAACCTCATGGTTCAATTAAAATTTCTCTCTCTAAAGTTATACTATTAATTTCTTAGTTGCCAACTCCAGTGGCTATTTTTCTGCCCTCATCTTTCCTGACCCCCCTGCAGCATTTGACTAGAGATCCCCTTCTCTTCCTGGATGCTTATTCTTCTTGGTTTTCCTTTCTCCTGCCTGTCTGTTCCTTCTTACTTTTTGTCATCCACAGCCTTCCCCTAAAGATAGGTATATCCAAGGCTCCATCCTGAGCCCTCTTATCTTTTCTTTCTGTATCTTCTCTCTTAGTAATTTGATCAGTTCCCATGGGTTCACTTACTCCCAGAGCAGTACGTATAGCCTGTGTATCTTTTGACCTCAAGTCTCACACCATCGCCTCTTTATTGGATATTTCCAACTGAGTGGTCAGTGGCCATCTCAGACTCAGCATGTCTAAATCAGAACTCCCTATCTTTCCCTCCACAACCCATCCCTCTTCCTAACTTCTGCATTCGTGTCAAGGACACCGCCATTCTTCAGTTGCCCATGGTTACAACCTTTCTCTGCTCTTCCTTCTTTCTCTCTCCTCATAACAAATCAATTAGCAGGGCTTTTCCATTCTACTTCCAAATCTTTTGTGTCCAACCCCTTTTCTGCACTGGCACCACAACAACCTTAGGTCAGTCCATGATCACATCTCTCTTGAACTAATGCAGCAGCCTCCTAACTTGTCTCCCTTTCCTCAAGTCTCTATTTTCTCCAATCTCTTCTCCACATAGCTTCCAAAGTGATGATATTCCTAAAGCACTGGTTTGACCATATCACTCCCTCACTTACAAAGCCCCTGTGGCTGCCTATTGCCTCTAGGTTAAAAATATAAACTCTTTTAAACATGTAAAGCCTTTAACAATTTCACTCCAGCCTGCCTTTTCAGGCTTATTATACATTACTCCCCTGATTGTACTCTGTGCCAGAAGGCCAAACTGGCCTCCTTACTGTTCCTCTTACAAAACAGTCTGTCTGCTCTTTTCTCAAAAATGCATTCTTTCTACACCTTTGCCTCTTAGAATCCCTAGTTTCTTCCAAAGCTCAGCTCATGAACCATGAGCCCTACATGAGTCACACTTTTAGTTGCTAGTTCTCATCCTTTTCCAGAAATTTCTTTGTGTTTACACTGTATAGATTTCATATTTTTATATATATGTCAATGTTAATTCCCCTGATAGAATATAACTTCCTGAGGGAAAGAAGTGTTCCCTAGAACCTAGCACATTGCCTGTCATGTATAGTAGGCACTTAATGAATGCTCACTGATTTTCCGTGTTTTGCATAACACCTGGCACATTATAGGTATTAGATGGAAGAAGAAGTACGGTGGTGGAAAGGCCACCGGCCTAGAATTAGAATACCTGTTTGTTTGTTTGTTTTTCACAAGTACACAAGGTGGTGTGATCTTGAGACCTTGGGCGTGATTTAAGACACTGAGCCACAGTTCATCTATAAACAGGGATAATGCCAGCCTCAGGGGTTGTTATAAAGGTCAAAAGATCTAGTAGATGTGAAGATTTCCTGAAAACTGAAAAGCAGTGTGTGGGTAATTGCTGTCATAATAAATAAGGATAGACAGCGGGAAAATGTTTTATAATTATCTGTTCTTATTTGGTTTCCACATTGAGGCTTCCACAAATAAATGACGTTTTCTATGTTACATTTGTTGCTGTTGTCATACTTTAACCTTCAGAACAAAGTTTTAATTAGATTTGCTGTCATGCAGACAAACATTTGTTGAAAAAAAAAATCTAAAACCCATCATGGCTTGAAATTTAAACTGACATCTGACCTTTTTAAAGAGGATATCCATTATATCCAATATCACTTAATTTTCCCAGAGCTATAAAAATTATTAGAATGATCTGCTTAGGATCCATCACTGTTGAAAACCCAGTTTTCATTCTGTATGACTTCCCTGTACCCACAGAAACCATGTTAGCCTTGTCATGGACATGTCAAAAGTCTAGTTTCCTCAAACCACATTTGAATCATTTGGGGGGGGGGAGTCATTTTCATTCCTTTTCCTTTCCTTGCTCCTACCCCCTTTCTCTTTCTCTTCCCCTTCCCATCTTTTTTCCTTTAAAGACTACTTCAGCAACCTGATTTCTTTAGAGTGTCATCAGTCATGATGCCACGCCAAAAAATACTGTTTGAAGTCAATAGTATTTGGGACTAAAGTCAAATCGAGTCACTGTCCTTTTTCTGTGACTTTGGCACTTGGCTCACAATGTTCTGGTTTCCATCCCTACCACAGAATCGTAGATTAGAGTTTCAGGAGACCTTAAAATCCAGTTAGGCCATCCCCCTCATTTTACAGAGGAGAGAATGAGGGCTCTTAGATATTAAGTGTTTAAGTGATTTGCCTAAGGTCACACTACTAATAAGTATCAGAAGCAACACCTGTTCCATTGTAGGCTGTTTCTTAATGAATCTAATGATCTCCCTCCACCCCAATCTTCATCCTCCCTGACCTCTACAATATTTGTATGTTTTTCTCCTTTCTCTCTTGACTTCTCTTTTTTTTTTTTTGATGAGGCAGTTGGGGTTAAGTGACTTTCCCAGAGTCACACAGCTAGTGAGTGTTATGTGTCTGAGGCCGGATTTGAACTCAGGTCCTCCTGACTTCAGGGCTGGTACAAAACCTAGCTGCCTCTTCTCCCTTGACTTATGAAAATGCAGTTGTGTTCTTGTGGTTTTCCTTCTACGTCTCTGACCTCTCCTGTTTGTTTTGCTGGAGCTGCTTCTTCCTCCTTCCCCTTGAATATTACCCCCCCCAAGTTCTGTCCTTGGCCCCCCCCCCCCGTTTTTATCAGTGATCTTATCCACTCTTCAGTGTTTAACTAAATACAGATGACTCACACATCTATATCTCTCCCCCTCCAAAACTCTTACTTTCCACCACCATTTAATCAGGGCCAAATCCTGTTGGTTGCTTTTATCTCCACAATATCTTTCACATTTATCCTCTTCAATGCAGCCACCCTTGTTTAGGCCCTTTTATCTTCCCAACTAGTTTGTTGTAGTTGTCTCCCAACTAGTCTTTCCACCTCCATTCTATCATATCTCAAGTAATAATCCTAATGTATAACTAATTGTGTGGCTCCTCGATAACCTTTGGTGATTCCACATTACCTGTTGAATACAATATAAATCCTCGATGCTGATATGCAAGGCCTTCCGCATTCTAGCTTCAACCTGGCTTTCTGTCTCTGTCTCCTACTACTCCTTGCTGTAGCCAGTCTTCCAGGCACAACTGAACTCCACATCTCTGCTTTTCATCCTACCCTGTCCTATCACTCTCTTCTCCTTTTGCGTTCCCCCTACCTCTAATGCGCTGTTCTCTGTATCTTTTGCAGTCCCTCCCTTTAAGGCCCAATTCTAGTTCCACCTCTTTGGTTATGCCTTTCCTTATCCTTCTATCCCCTGTAGGTGAAAGTGAGGTCACTTTCTCCTGAAATTTGCCATAGCTCTGTGCCTGTTTTTGTTTGTTTATATGTTTTGTTTTGTTTTTATTTTGTTATTGTTGTTGTTGATTTTCCTTTGGGGCTTATCTCATTCTCCCTTGTTTCAACTTTCTCACTGGATTGTAAACTCCATAAAAGTAAGGTCTGTGTCTTTCTTTGTGTCATAGAATCACACATGTAGAAGTGAAGGGACCTCAAAGGCCATCTAGTTCAAACCCTTCATATCACAGATGAGGAAATTTGAAGTACAGGGAGATTATGGCTTATCCAAGGTCTCACAGGCCCACTGACTCCAGATCTAGGGCTCTTTACCCTTTACCAAACTATATCAACACCTAGCCCTGTATTTCATATTCTTTAATCAAGTGAACCTTTTTATTGAGCTTTTAATGAAAGTAAATTGAATTATGTGGCAAGCTATAAAAAAGACACATTTCTGAGTTTCCAGAGGAGGCACAGCTCTCCAGGAAAGAGTCCTGTTACAAGAATTACATCATTATGTTCACTTATGTTGCCTGACCAGGATCTGTGACACTGTCTTACAAGTTAACTCTTTGCTGAGTGCCAGTTACCTGACAAAAGGGTACTGGGGCTGCTTTCAGAAATGTCCTTCTGCCCCCACAAGCCCCCTAAATCTTCATGAGACTTTTCATTCATTTAAGAAATATGGTGTCTTAATATGAATTCTCTCAACATTGAAACTTAGTTTGGTTGAATTTAGCAGCATTTTGTCTGATGTAAGTATTGCCTTCCCAACTAGATGGAAGTGCCATAGAAAGACTGACCAAAGGGGCAGAGCTATTTACTCTAGAGAAAAGAAAACTTAAGGGTAATATTTAAGGGTCCCATAACCTGGCTTCAGCCTTTCTTTCCAGGCTTATTCTACATTATCCCCTTCACAAATTCTCTGTTCCAGAAAACCGGATTACTTGCTGCTGCCTGAACTTGACATTCTACATATATCCCACAAGCTGCCATTATGCCTGGAATGCACTTCCTCTTCAATCCTACCTCTCTCAATCTTTATTTTCCTCTAAAGCTCAGCTTATGTGCCATCAGCTTCATGAAGTCTAGCAGAGTTTCTACCATTATTAGTGCTCTCTTCCTCTTTGAATGATGATGATAATGGTGATGATGATGATGATGATGATGATGATGATGATGAAGAACAGCTAGCATTTATATAGCACTTTAAGGTTTGCAAAGAATTTTACAAATTTATCTCATTTTGTATTTACTTATACACTTGGTTGTATCCTCCAGCAGCCCACCTTCATGGCAGGCACTGATTTGTTTTGGGCTTTGTGTCCCCCATCATCTAGCACAGACACTCAAATACTAAAATGTTTGAAAGGGTCCATTATTTCATCATCAGTGGGGAACTCCAAGTGTTGAACTCTCTCTGTCAACTGTGACTTAGTAGGTAAGACCTACAGGGGTGTTTATAGTACACAGTTGTTAACTGATTAGCTCATGGTCAGAGAAGAGATTCAAACCCAGGTCTTACGAACTCCAAACCTTCTAGAATTTTCTACCACTTAAAGAAACACTTGTTAAAAAACTCAAAAATCCATCCTGGCTTGAGACAAACTGACATCTGACCATTTTAAACCTAGCACGCTAGCCACAACATCACATTTCCTTGCAAAAAATCATTAATGAATGTTTTCTGAATCATTTAGAAGTTGTTAAGGTTTGCCCTGTGGAACAAGGATTAGACTTGTTATGCTTAGCCTCAACGAAGAAAAGTAGGATCAACGGGTGGAAGTTATAAGAAAGAAATTTCTAATGTATAGAGCTGTCCAAAAATAGAATGAGACAGTTTTCCATTATTGAGGTGTTCAAGTAGAAACGATGTGGACAGTTTCTAGAAGATGGCAGAGAAAATTAATGCATCATGAAAAATTGGACATTTATATAGCACTACAAAGTTTACTCACAACTCAGAGGTAGATAAAACACAGATAAGGAAACAGGTTCAAAGAGGTCACGAAGCTAGTAACCATTAGTCATAATTTGAACTCAGATCTTGTGACTCAGGGTCCAGCACCTCTTACCTTTCCACCTCTTACCTTGCTGATTCTCCTAAATGACGTCTTTGATCCCTTCAAACTCTGAGGTTCCATGATTTAGTAAATAATTCTCATTCTTATGGTTCTAGAATTTTTGAGTCAGATAGGACATTAGCAGACATCTAATCCAATCTATATTTGAATACGGAATCTGCACCAAACTTACCTTATAAATGGTCCTCCAGTCTCTAATTGAAAACTTCCGTTGAGAGGGAATTACTTCCCAAGTTACCTCCCAAGGCAGCCCATTTCACTATTGAGTTTCTCTAATTGTTTTTCCTGACATTGACCTTAAATCTGTCTCCTTGCAACTTCTGCTCTTCATTCCTGATTCTTTCATTTTATTTGAAGAACATTGCCAGGAAGCAAATCTGTTGTGAAGTATTCCACGCCACAGATAGGACTTAAAAATGATGGAGCCAAGGAAAAGAGTTTGAACTAGAAGGGAAAAGCTTATTGGCTGGGGTCAAGCTGGGAAGAAGAGCCCAGCTGTAATAGTATCTATAAGAGTTACTCCTGAATGAGAATGAGGAGGAGAAGAATATTGGACTCTGCAATACTTCTTATCCAAATTACTTTCAAGATTCATTAGATTATATTCTTTAACTACTAGTCTTATTTCCCAGTCAGTCAATCTCTGATTTGGAAATAACTTCAGAGGGCATCTAGTCCAACTCATACTTGAACATTCTAAGAACCTACCATGCAGCATACCCAAGAAGGGGTCTGCTTCTATGTCAAGGTCTCTGGAAAGGAACTCACTGCCTCCAAGGGTTGGCCTATTTCAATTTTGGGTAAGTCCGATTATTTAGAAAATGTTTGCATCCATCAAGCATAAACCGGTCTCCCTACAACTTCTTCCCATTGCTTCTAGAAGTGCTTTCTGGACCTAAACAGAGAACGTCTAATTTGCCTTTGTGATAACCCTTTAGATACCTGAAGATGGGTATAATGCCCAGTTCTCAACCCTCAAGTCTTCTCCAGACCGTCTTTAATTCATTCAGTCAACCTTAATTGATCATAATTGCCAAGCCCTTCACTATTTTGGTTACCCACTCCTTGATGCCCTCCCAATTTTCAGCTTCCTAAAATGTGACTCTCAGAATGGAATGCCATATTTC